GAGTAACCCCTGGGGGGCTGGGGGAGCTGCCTCCTGGCCCTGCCCTCTCTCACCCTCTCCCGGCCGGTTGTCTCCTCTTCTTCTTTCCCCAGGGCACCTTCTCGCTCATCATTGAAGCTCTGCATACAGACTCGCCTGACGACCTCACCACAGGTAACTGTCCCAAAACAGGCCCTTCCCTGGAATAATCCTAGTCCTGCAGCTCCGCTCTCTCTGTGGTGTGCAGTGCATTGCCTCCATCCCATCCCATCCCTGCTCCTCTTCGGGAGACCGTGGAAAGAAAAGCCAACCTGTTGGCACGCAGCCCTATCGTCCTGCCTCTGCGTTTCCCCTCCCACCAGAGACCCCCTGTTGAGCATCTTCCTATGCCCCTGCCCGCTTCGGGCTCTCTGATCACGCCTCTCCTCCTCTCTGCTTTCACACAGAAAACCCCGAGCGCCTCATCAGCCGCCTGGCCACCCAGAGGCACTTGGCAGTGGGTGAAGAGTGGTCCCAGGACCAGCACAGCAGCGGCCGCACTGACCTCAAGTACTCCTATCGCTTCGTGTGTGATGAGCACTACTACGGAGAAGGCTGCTCTGTCTTCTGCCGCCCCCGGGATGATGCCTTCGGTCACTTCACTTGCGGAGAGCGTGGCGAGAAAGTGTGCAACCCAGGCTGGAAAGGCCAGTACTGCACTGAGCGTGAGTGTCCACCTTCTTGTCTCCCCGGATGCCAGTTACAGCAGTGTGCCTTGAACTCTTGGGAGGGAAGGGAGATGTTTCTCTGAGATCAGGTCCCACAGGAGAGAGGGAACCAAGCTAAAGCGGTTGGAGGTCTGGTGCTGTGTACAGGCTTTACTGGTGCAGGGGACGGGAGATCTTCGGCATTACCACAGAAAGGTAATGCAGATAGCCCCTTCTCAAGCTAATAAAATGTCAGTGCCAACATGACACTCTTGCTCATTTGCTGTAGACATCAAATCTGAAAGCAAAATGTTCAGCAGTTGCTTGAGGATTTATTAAAATATATCAGGACTACTTTTTATACCTAGCCATTCCTTCAACCATGGTACATTGATACCCTCATCTACAGGGTACATGGCTTCAGGAGAGGGAGCTAGGCTTTGGCAACATCCACGCAGCAGGCCTATTGATAAGCTTGTTATGGTCTGATGTCTTGCAATCTTACATTGAGAAAAGTATTGGAATGTCCAAGATATTCTCTGTGCCCTCCAGACCATACATTTCTCATTTGGGGTACTCATAAACTGCCACTAATAGAAATTGTTCCACGAGAATGTTCAACTTCTTCCCCATCTCTTTTCTGTGCCATTGCCATGATCGTTACTACTAATAAAGTAGTGAGGGATGGGAGTTTTAAAGTATGTCTGAGTTTGAAGTTGTTGAAGAATACGGTGTGTCAATAGAGCAGGAAAAGCTGGGACGGCAAGCAGATGGCAGAGAGGACAGTGAGGGATGTCAGATACTTGCAGCCTTGTACGAGGTTACTGCCCTTTGTAGACACAAAGTGATGTAAACCCAAATGTGCACACAGAGCTCCTGCTGCAGCATGTGATGGCATTCTCTGTTTGTGTCTATACACGGATCTGAAGTATGCTGGCTGATGACGTACTGGGTGCTTGCTCCTCTCCAGTCATCCAAGGGCTAGGCAGGCAGGGAGAAAAGAGTTACAGGCTGTAAAGCAGCCTCTCAGTTTTCTTCTTGTTGTTGTGTTTTTGTTTTTCTCAAAGCCCACCTACACCGTGGTCTCAGCTGAGATGCTATCAGACGAGGCCAGATTGATTGTCCACACTGTTAGTAACTGCTAGGATGCTTTTAGCAGTTCATGGTACAACGTTGCACAATAAACAGCAGGCAGAAGGGCTCGCATTTCCTTTGACAGTGTTTTAAATAGGAACTACAACCTTTCCCATGACTGAAACTGCCTAGCCCGGCTGTGGCAAGGGGTGGGGAAAAAGGAAGCATTTTGATAATGAGCTCTTTCGGGCCTGTCAGCACTTTTGGATGCCTGTACATCGCTGCTCTCCCCATAGCGAAGTAGAAAGCTGTCTGTCTTTCCTGACTTGTTACTTCCACTCTTCGTTCTACTTTCCCTCTCAGAAAAACCCAGCTTATAACGGCGATGCAGACCTACTAGGCAGGGGAGATGTGTTTACGTGTGCGTGCAAAAAGAATGTTCCACCGTTAGCGAGCGGAGCTGCCCATCGCAGATTGCTTCCCGTCGCCTTGCCCCTAGCTCCATTCTTTCCAACTTGGAGCCGATCTGATTATCAGCACCGATTCTTCCTTTCTTTTTCTTCCCCAGCCCTTCCCCTCGCATGCCATTGTCTCTGGCTGTCTTTGTTGAATTAAAACTTTGCAGTGCCTGCTTAATGAGTTCCATAACCAGGCGAAGTAATGAGCAGAAGTCCCTTTTTTCCTTTCCCTCATCCTCCCTCCTGCTGGCCCGCTTACCTCTTTTACCAGGGCTGCACTCACCCGCCCGCCCCTTTTCCGAGGGGGGCGGAGGGGGGGAAGGAGGGAGGAAGAACTTTAGACTTATTTATTTGAATAAGAAAAAAAAAAAGTTTTTTTTGCAGCGAAATCACGCGCGTGCCATAGATTAGCTGTGGGCAGGGATCCCGCCGGTCGCCGGCCCCATTGGCTCCGGGGCCGGGGTATTGTTGCAGTGGGGCAGCTGCTGGGAGAGAATAGACAATAGAGCAGCTGTCTTGCACTGGCACCCTGCACACCAGCTGTCCACTCTTATCTGCACACACACTTTCGGGGGATATTAAGAGGTGGAGCTGTGTGCATAGAATTGGAAAAAAGGACTTCTGACCCTCACTGGGAAGGAAAGGGGGGTGAGGGGCTGTGGGGAAGGGAGCAATTGTGAGCCTTCTTTTGTCTGTGTGCAACTGTATTAAGAAGAATGCTCATCCCCGGCGATAAGTAAAGTGTCCAGTTATGGGGCGAGATCAATACTCCTGCAGACTCCAGAGATTAACTCAGCTGTGCTTAAGCGCCCCAACCTAGTAAAAGGGGCTGGCTCCCCACCCGCAAGGTGCTCGTGGGATCGGACTTGTAAAAGGGAGGCGTTCGGCCCTGGTGCTGATGTCTCTCCCTTCTTGGTTTGTTTACAGCAATTTGTTTGCCTGGATGCGATGAGCAACACGGCTTTTGCGACAAACCTGGGGAATGCAAGTAAGTTCTCTGCTCCCCTCCTGCTCCCTTCTTTGTCTTTAACGTTGATGCTTTGGTGTTAAGTAAGCCATTGGTCATTCAAAGGGTCGGTTTAAATGCCTTTCTTCATATTAAATGGTAATTTGAGAAATCCAGGTGATGCCAGATCAAAGTATTAATCTACAAGTCAAACATCAGTGCCATTAATATTAACCTAATGAGTTTACAGGGCTATGTGTAAGGTTTAGCTGTTTGTTATTAGAGTAAACAAATTAACTACCTGGAACCGTGGCTCTATCTAAGGAAGAAGAAGAAATAGCTGGGACCGATGAAAGCTGATGCTACGGTTGGACTCGGTGACTTTCTCACATGAAGGATCACTGAGGGCTTTTAGGAAACTTGATCCCTGGCATCGGTGTGTTTGCAGAGTTTGTGATAGGGTTTCCAACTGTGAGAAGTCTAAATCTGACGAGACTTTGTTGTTTGTTGTTTTTTTTTTTTTACCCAGATGCAGAGTGGGTTGGCAAGGGCGATATTGTGACGAGTGCATCCGATACCCAGGCTGCCTTCATGGTACCTGTCAGCAGCCGTGGCAGTGCAACTGCCAGGAAGGCTGGGGTGGCCTTTTCTGCAACCAGGGTGAGTTCTCAGTCCTTGCTTGAGTGTCTGTTCTAAAACATGGAAAGCAAGCTGCTATTTCCAGCTAACCCACCCTGTGCTAGCCTTGCAAAGTAGCAAATATCTTGACTGCTCTCTATTTTTTAAAAAATAATCTTTTACAGACCTGAACTACTGCACCCACCACAAGCCCTGCGAGAATGGTGCCACGTGCTCCAACACTGGTCAGGGGAGCTACACTTGTTCTTGCCGACCTGGGTACACAGGTTCCAACTGTGAGATTGAAATCAATGAATGTGACGCCAACCCTTGCAAGAACGGTGGAAGCTGCACAGTAAGTTTGAGTTGCTTGTGCCATCCTCCGAGGGAGGAGCTAGTGTCAGTTTTACGGATTTTTTCGAAATCCCTTTTTGGATTTTGAAGCAACTTCAGATAAATATTTTGACAATTTCTCATTTCTTTCCCCCAGGATCTTGAGAACAGTTACTCCTGTACCTGCCCCCCGGGCTTCTATGGTAAAAACTGTGAGCTGAGCGCAATGACTTGTGCTGATGGACCATGCTTCAATGGTGGGCGATGCACAGACAACCCTGATGGGGGATACAGCTGCCGCTGCCCACTGGGTTATTCTGGGTTCAACTGTGAAAAGAAGATCGATTACTGCAGTTCCAGCCCTTGTGCTAATGGTAAGGCCAAACATGTTACAGTGGCCTTCTAAAAGGAGACCATCCAGTTACTTTGGCTTCTGGTCTGGAGTTCATAACAAGGCCCACTTATCAGTCATGGTCCATGTCACGTCAATAGTTGACTTGGTGGAGGAACTGTACTTAAAGCATAATGGTGTGGTTTGGGCCACTGCTGCAAACCATGTTTTCTCAAGGGGTGACTGTGGCCAGGTGATGGCCTGAAGCTCCATGCATAACAGTGTGGAGGATTATACTTGCAAATGTTTTGCAAAGACTTTTTGAGGTCTGTGGGTGCCAAATGCCATACAAGTGCTAAATATTATTACTTGTAATCTAGTAACAGTAATCTTCTTGTTTTGATTAAACTAGTGAAGACTTTCTTTACTGCAGTCCTCCTCATTCATTGCCACTCAAACTCTGTAACGTGAGATTGTGGTGTTCACCTGATCTGGACTAGCTTTGTTGTCCAAGCTGAGTGAAACGTTAAAAAGGGAATAGGATGGAGAATGAAAATTAGATCTGATTAACAAATGTCTTCCTTAAAAAAAAAAACAAACGTACTTTTTATGGTGGATCAGACTCGGCAAAGGTTGAGCTAACCTCTCAAAAAGAAAGCTTTTCTCAGCTGCTGATTGTGACAGTCATCCTGAGAGAAGCAAGTGGGAGGTTGTTGGGTCTGGCTGCCCACCACTCAGCACTCATACCCCTTGATGTCTTGCAGGAGCCCAGTGCGTCGATCTGGGCAACTCCTACATATGCCAGTGCCAGGCTGGCTTCACTGGGAGACACTGTGATGATAATGTGGACGACTGCGCCTCCTTTCCCTGTGTCAACGGAGGGACCTGCCAAGATGGTGTCAATGACTATTCCTGCACCTGTCCCCCGGGATACAACGGGAAGAACTGCAGCACCCCGGTGAGCAGATGCGAACACAACCCCTGCCACAACGGGGCCACCTGCCACGAAAGAAACAACCGCTATGTCGGGTGCGGGGGCCTCACCTGCCAATTTTTGCTCCCCGAGCCGCCTCAGGGACCAGTCATCGTCGACTTCACCGAGAAGTACACGGAAGGCCAGAATGCCCAGTTCCCCTGGATCGCTGTCTGCGCTGGGATTATTCTGGTCCTCATGCTGCTGCTGGGGTGTGCTGCTGTGGTCGTCTGCGTCAGGCTCAGAGTGCAGAAGAGGCACCACCATCCTGATGCCTGCAGGAGCGAGACCGAGACCATGAACAACCTGGCGAACTGCCAGCGCGAGAAGGACATTTCCATAAGTGTCATTGGTGCCACTCAGATTAAAAACACGAATAAGAAAGTGGACTTTCACAGCGATAACTCGGACAAAAATGGCTACAAAGTCAGATACCCATCAGTGGATTACAATTTGGTGCATGAACTCAAGAATGAGGACTCTGTTAAAGAGGAGCACAGCAAATGTGAAGCCAAGTGTGAAACGTATGATTCAGAGGCAGAGGAGAAAAGTGCAGTACAACTAAAGAGGTATCTCTCACATCTGAGTGCTGGGGGAAGCTTGACTCTGAAGGGGGTATGTGTGTCTCATAGGTAGCGTTAAGCAACAGCCATCTCACCTGTGTTGTCTCTTTTTGTCTTCAATAGCGATACTTCTGAAAGAAAACGACCAGATTCAGTATATTCCACTTCAAAAGACACAAAGTACCAGTCGGTGTATGTCATATCAGAAGAGAAAGACGAGTGCATCATAGCAACTGAGGTTAGTATACTGCCTGGCAGCTGGAACAGCAGAGAAAAGTCTCGGTGTGCGACCCTCATCTAACACAGGTCGGGGCAGCTGAACTCTTTTGGTTGGTGCCACAGCGATCTGTACATGTTGAAATCCAACCAGCTTGAGTTTGTCGTGCTGTGGATGTTGTAAAGACAAGCTCAGTGACTTGTTGCTGTGACTTGTTGCTGTGGATGTTACGGGTGCGACGGCTTTTGCAGACAAGGGTGCAGCAACAGCGTGGTTGTGGTCTGCTGACCTACCCCTTAATGTGCTTCATGCAGAGTCTTCTTGCCCAGTGTAAAGACAGAGTCCCGACCTCTGCAGCCTTACAGCCCTCTTCTTACTTTCTGTTAACCTCTCCTGATCTCTGCTCGTGTTTTCTCTCACCAGGTGTAAACCAGAGGCGATATGGCAAGGTGGTTGTTCAGAACAATTTCAGAGGAGACGTGCCCCGATGAATGCTGCTGAAAGAGGAATGGGAGATAGATTCCTTCACTGACTGCTGCTGAGAAACTAAATTCAGGCTTGAGCTGGTTCTCTACTGAAGTTAGCAAAGTGACTGCAAAATAAAGAAACAAGATGGACACCAGGCAAGGGTCTGTGTTCAAGGATTACTGTTGCACTGCCTTTTATGAATTTTATCATTGCACTATGGTCAGTTGCTTTTCTATATATATTTAAATGAATGGACTTAATTACTACATAAGAAGCATGCACTGCCTGAAGTGTATATTTTGGATTCTTATGAGCCAGTCTTTTCTTGAATTAGAGACACAAACACTGCCTTTATTGTCTTTTTTGATACTAAAATGTGTTTTTACTAGGTGAGAAAAAGTGTGTTATTTTTTTGAATCTGTAAAAATATTTTCATGATAATTGTAAAGCTTGAGTATTTTGTGATGTTCATTTTTTTTATAATTTAAATTTTTTGGTAAATATGTACAAAGGCACTTCGGGTCTATGTGACTATATTTTTTTGTATATAAATGTATTTATGGAATATTGTGCAAATGTTATTTGAGGTTTTTTTACTGTTTTGTTAATGAAGAAATTCATTTTTAAAATATTTTTCCAAAATAAATATTATTAATGATAACCAGAGTGCTATGCTTATTCCATAACCGATGATGAACTGACTGAACCTTTCAACCGGGCACCTGACAGGCTTCTGTAGACTCACGAGTGGGTGGGGTAGGACCGAGACGCGAAGGCTGGGGAACAACTTGTTCTGTGTAGACTCCCCTTTTTCCCCTTCTAAGCTTCTGAACTGTTGACCGAATGGTTGTGCTCGCTCTTATCCCAAAAGCGAATGTCTGTCAAAACCTTGAGTAATGTTTGCTCAGTGATGTTGGGTTGTGTATATATAAACACATATGGCATCACTTCCCGAGGAAGAGCAACATGGTTGCGCTCCGTCACAATCCAGATGTGGGGCTCATCATGACTCAGCTCTTCATTTCCTGCAACCTCAAACACTTGCCTGAAATCCAGGGGAGTTGAGGACACCCAGGTCACACCAGTGACTGCTCCCAGCTCAGGTCCTTGATGCGCACCCATGGGATGTGAGCTCCTTTAGTCACATCTGCCGAGAGGTGGCACCTCACTCTCCAGGAAAGGGTGATGCCAAATTGACTGGTGGCCACAAGTGTCCTGGCTAGGATACCTGTCTGAAGTATTAGTTGCATCTTTGGTTTCCACTCTGCCCCTGGTGCCTGCTGCCTTCATACTGGGGCAGGATGTGATCCCATCCCCTGGCTTGGCCTTGAACACTCAGGCAATTTCACCGATTTGGTTTGCCCCAACTAGCTCTCCTTCAGGTAGTGCCACATGTTAGTTAGCAGAGGCACTTCAGAAACAGGCAAAGTGTTCTTCTACTTTAGGAAGAAAAGGAAAATCAAGGAAATAAATTCCTTTTTGCTCCACTAATGCAGAACCCCAATCATTGTGGGCCACCTTCCACCGCTTTGGGGAGTCGATGAAAATCCTCTGTTCACATTCATTTCAGGGGAGGGGGATGCCATTCTAAACACAAAGAGTGGGAGAGCAGATATAATCAAGCAATTAGTGTAGCTGGTGATCTATAACTGTCAAGTACACAACTGCTCCCCTCGTTTGAGTCTGCATAAGTACATGAACTACTGGAACTGTACTTTGGTGTGAGATCAATGGAAAACTCACTGACTGCAGGGGCTTGTCTGTCTATACGTCCTTCTCGCTAAGCCAAACCTTAGACACGATCTACCAACTCGCTTCTCATGAAGTGAATCTTCTTCATTTATCCCAAAGTGTCTTTTAAGGAAAGTTTTCATAAGGAGAGAGATGTGAGGTATAAAAAGCCTGTCAGAGACGGTCTGAACAGCATTTTCCATCTGAGTAGTAACATATCAACCTGCCAATAACCAGCCAATGCATCATATATTAAATGAGGCATGACGGTGTGTATGGCAGCATATATGTTATGTTCAGAGCAACATAATCTCACAGATTGGACAAACAAGTGAGCCTTGGTAGGTTTTATTGCCATCTCTGTTGCTGATTTGCTCTTCAACCTTGGGCAAATCACTTTATTTCTCTCTGTTTTCTCTTCTTCCCAAGTGTTTTTGAGCAGTCTTGTCTTTTATGATGTACTGCTCTTTGCACAGTCAGTGCCATGGTCTCAGCTGGGCGCTCTTAATGCTGCTTCTGTAGAAATAACAGTAATGAACAGAAGGTCATTGATGGCTGAGTGCCTCCGTAACGTCGTCTTCAGTGCTACAGCAAGTACTACTTTCATACGGTGTCAGGTGAAGGTCTAGAAAAGCACACAGCTCCTCGCTCTTGTAAAGAGGCACAGCATCGGCATCTGCCTAACTTTGCTTGAAAATAAAACAGCTTCAGAAAGCTCAGTTTGTCGAAGTGTGCTACGTACCAGAAGTGCTGAGCTTGATGAGTGAAGGAAAATGTACTGTGGGCAAAGAGAAGATCACAGTCTTGTCCTTCTGAAGCACCTCCTGAAATGACAGCTATGCAGATGAGCCCAACCAACACCTTCTTCCATTTCTGTCTTGGTCAGGGTTGGGGATACTGCCACAGGCAGGATTTATTTCTTGTACAGGATTACTAAATCCCCCAATCCTGAGAGTATGCGTATACAGAGGCTCTTGGTGAGCAGAGCAGGTTGAGAAGCGCGGTGTGGAGCACTGGATCCATGCTCCTCACCTTGACTACTCGGGGAGTTTCTGGGGGAAACAAAAAGGATGATCCAGTCAAGGGGTGGAAGTCGCGCATGTGCTTGCTGAGAGAGAGCGGGTGGGGGGATGCGGGCACCGCGCCGGGCACAGGCGTTGCGCAACGCGGGCGAGGGGCGGCGACGATGCCCGCCTG